CCCCGCCCTTCCACCCCGCCTCTCCCTTCCCCGCCCCGCACCGCTGAACCGTAAAACCTAGGTGCATTGCGGATTGCATTAAACAAAATTTTGTAAAAAACCAACGAACATTGATGGAATTTGACCGGGAAGTCCTAGGTTCGAGTCCCGACGGTGGCAGGATATTCGGCACTAGCTTGATCGCTGTGACGAATTCAGCCGCTGCCTGGGAGAGAACACTAGCGGCCGGCTGCTCTGATCGGTAATTTTCCTGATCCGAAACACTACGGGCCACGGACCACGTGCAATATTTCCTTCCCCTTCCTTGTCGCATCATTGCCTCTCTATTATACACACTTGCACTTACACGCACTACACTACCACACATGAACGCAGTACAAACGGGAGCTTTTTGCTTGTTCCGGCTGGGGTACCCCGCAGGTGGGAGATACCTGGTAGGGAAAAGTTGCAAGTCGACTTGTACGTCGGCGCCGGATCTTGTCATCGAGCTCGGGAAGATCATTCCCTCTCGTCATAAACCATGCACTTCACTGACGGGTCTAATTGCCATAGAAGTTGACGTGCCTAGAAACACTAAGAAATCCATCAATCGCCTTTTACAACCCACCCCATTGGGTACAGGTAAATAGTAGACTGTACAGGGTGCGCCAGAGAAACTTAATTATTTGAAAAAATTCTCGCGCGGTGAGTTGGGCGGTTAGAGGGGCGAGAGGGGGCGTATCTGGAGGGGGAAGTTCCCAAGTTTTTTTCTCCTTCCAGTCAGTTGCCATCATGCTGTGGAATAGAGAGCAGAGGGCCTTCGCAGTCGAGAGCTTATTTTCTAACGGCACATTATATACTCACCGCGCGGGAATTTTTTCAAATAAGTAAGTTTCTCTGGCGCACCCTGTACTACGTGGCCTTATTCATGTAATCTATTGTAGACCCTCTACAATGCCTGTATCGTATCCGCCCCTCTGTAAGCAGGTGGATAGCAACAGCCTATACCCCCACCCAGAAAAGTCCTTCGTGCGCCTCTGTTTTTAATAATAAAAGTTGTGTGTTGAACGATGTGCTTGCAGATGGACCGGGCGCAGCAAGACGATCATCTGCCGCTAGGGGCGCCACCGGCGGCGCCTGTGCACGACGCATGCGAGTGGTCGTGGGGCGACCACGCCCCCGTCGCCGTGCACCAGGTATAGATGGATTTTCTTACGAATGGGATAAAGTGACAGTTCGCGAAACAAGTGAAAATCACGTGTACTTCAGAGAAGTAAACACGTGCACCGACACGAGTACGCATCTCACATTCAGGACTCGGTTTTAAAACAAACATACTACTTATCACATAAAAACTAAATTCAATATAATTTTTATTTTAAAAAAAGAATTTTTACATTAGAGCACAAAGCTCTGCACTTCCTAATTTCAATTATTTCTCGTGGCGCACTATATTTTCCTCGGCCGAGGACATCACAGCCAGGGAGCGTCGTGGCCTTTTACAAGTTAGCCAACTGCAAACGAACGAATGGATGAAGGAGAGTCTAATAAGTTCAAGGATACAACGACCACAGAATCGTCAGTTGTGTTGCCAGCACTAGCTGTCAAATCATCGCATTCTAAAGAAAATCGGACAATAGGCGCACCTCGCTCGTCACCAGAAGCGGGATTTGCACGCAACTGGCCTCCCCCTTTCAACCGTCGTTGCTTGGGGATTTATTAGTCACAACCATCTATTACACAGTCCGGCCCGTCCTGTCTGCTCCCCTCCTCTGCTTGGCCCAGCTGCACGCCCCTTCTGCCCGTCCCAGCTGTTCCGCTACAAACCTGTCCCGTCCGTCCTGCCAACCTAGACTGTCCTACCCGTCCAGTCTGCCCTGCCGGACACGCCTAACCTTTCCAACCCGCCTACTCTTTGCGGCCCGTCTACCTCGCTCACCCTTTCACACACAAGAAAACACGCGTGCATGACTTGCACTACACTGACACACATATCAGGACACCAGTCGGAAGCGTAGTGCTTGATCCGGTTGAAGCGGTGCCCCGCTGGGGGGAGATACCCGGAGTGAGAAACTCCGTTAACCGAAGTGTCAGTTGAAACCAGATCTCTCATGATTCATCGACGAGGAACACCGCCATCTTTTGGTTATATCATGACCTTCACTCACGGTACCAATGACCAAATTAGTTCACGCGGTAGAAATAAGGATTTGTCACTCAAAACGTGTTAAACGAAGCCTGCAAAGGTGTCCAAGCTGCTTAACCATACTCCGACAAGTTAATCAGTTCGAGACATGAGGTTAATCAGTTCGAGACATGAGGTTAACCAGTTCGAGACATGAGGTTAATCTGTTCGAGACATGAGGTTAATCAGTTCGAGACAGTAGGTTAATCAGTTCGAGCCATGAGGTTAATCAGTTCGAGACATGAGGTTAATCAGTTCGAGACATGACGTTAATCAGTTCGAGACATGAGGTTAATCAGTTCGAGACATGAGGTTAATCAGTTCGAGACATGAGGTTAATCAGTTCGAGGCATGAGATTAATAAGTTCGAGACATGAGGTTAATCAGTTCGAGACATGAGGTCAATCAGTTCGAGACCTGACGTTAATCAGTTCGAGCCATGAGGTTAATCAGTTCGAGACATCGCTGGTCCCTCATCTGGGAATCCCGGTTACTAACCGCAGCGTACTAAGCGCTGACCGATAGAGATAAAAGGCAATGACGTATGACGTATTACGTATGACGTATGGCTAAATTCAAGGGGAATTACGTGGTTTATGACTGACTACTTTAAGCGAAAAATACGTCATGTTCAATGCCTAATGAAGCTAGAGAATTGCTACAAAAAAAGAGTCGACAAACTGCAAGTACTCTCAAATGTTTTTTTACAATGGTGCATGCTTCCCGACGCAGTTACCAGCATTCAGTACGAAAACACAGTTCCACGCCTTGCTCAGCTGTCACACATACAATATAATTGTATTCTTGGTAAGAATGCATACTTTTCCTATCAAACAGGTGCCTCTTTCCGTACCCACATTGTCCCGATGTGGAAGCAATGAAAATTCTCTGTTGCAGAACTGTCTAGGTGGCTACGGGCAGCTGCCAGCAGAGCACATGCAGTCGCAGATGCAGTCGCAGATGCAGTCACAGATGCATCCGCAGATGACTCACAGTCCAACCACATTCCCGCCAGAGGTCGCGTAGTATTACCGTTTTAAATCAGATTATTGAATTAATAATTTATTTTCTTTGGATAGTTTTGGCGAAAATCTGATATAATTCTACGGAAAGATCTATAACTAATCTTATTTAATGTACTAAATAATACGTTGAAATGTTAACCAAATAAGTGTCAGAAATATATTTTTCCATCTTTATCAATATTATTTAGTCGCATAGAAACAGTTATTCAGCACAAATTATTTCAACTGGCATTAGAAATTAGATATCGATATCTTTTAATTATTCTATTTCATCTGGTAATGTGAAGTAAAGTAACGTATAAGTAGGTTTCTACTTTCTGGATTACGTAGTATACGGAAAATGCTGCAAAAGATAGATATAGAGATTTTGAGAGAGATTTTGAGAGAGAGAGAGAGGGGGGGAGGGGGAGAGGGGGAGGGAGAGGGAGAGGGAGAGAGAGACACGTTTTGAGAAGTTCCTGGCACCGAAAAAGAGTACAATACTTGATCCTTTATGTAGAAAATTCGAGTCAAGGATCCTTGAAACTGAAAATGTGGGTCTCGGCGAGAATTATTTATGTTTGTCCGTCTCGGTCTACCGGTGTACAACACTAGCGCCTAAAACCTGTATTCGATTTTCATCAAAATTCGTACTCTCTGATCAACCTAGCTGATTTCGTGACCCCTCGAATTTGGAACGGATAATTTAATTTTGGGGATTTTTTACGTGGATACTTAACATTTTCTAATGCATTTGCTGCTCTTGTCTTCACCTTGAAGTTCTATAAATTGGATTGAAATCCTAGTTGTTGTTTACATGAAGCTAAAACAATGTCAGCTCCATCAAAATTGTATTTGCAACTTCTTCTTCGGTTCTTTAATTTGATGGTGTCGTTTTCTTTCAATCGTATTTGGAGAAAGCTTTTGGAATGAGTGATTTTTTAGCATAATAGAACGATTGTAAGTTTTGCAGCATTTAAGTTGTAGATTTTTTCGAGCATTATTTCTCTAACCAGGAATTATTTAAACGTCACAGAAGATTAATCATTTTTAAAAGCAGATTCGTAAATTTTAATTTTTGCTGAGACAGTAAATATATTCAATTTTGCCGTGGAAATATTTTTGTGAACATGGGCAGTGTGTTCTAGAAGCAATTTAAGTAAAAACGATATGGGAGTTATGTTTGAAATATAACTAGAATGAGATTCAATGTAACTGTTTTAATTTATTTGACTGTTGCAAATAATGCTATGAAGTGTGTCCTAAGCTGTAGAACGAATAACGTATTGAGAACAATTAAAACATACCGAGAAAATATTGAAACTGACCATCACGCTTCGTAAATTACGTATTTGTTCTACAGCGCTGTCCTGGGCCGATGGCCGGTGGCTACTCAGATATGCATTCCCAGATGCACTCGCAGATGCAGCCGCATTTGGTGCCACAGATGCTGCCACAGATGCACAGCTCTCTGCAGGATATCGACTACAACAACTCGCACCACACTTTCGAGCAGGTGAGACCATAAACGTAGCCAAGATTTTCAAGTGTAATAAGAATTGTTAATATTATTAATATAGTATAAGTGTCTCAATAATTAACACAATCATAATTAATATTATTTTTATGTTAATTATTAAATTATTTTGTTAGTATTATATTATTAAATAATAATATTATAGTATTAAATATTAACAATATATAATAGATAGATATATAATTAGTAATAAATTTTAATTTCAATTTTTCAAATTAATAAATAATTAAATGTATTAAATTAAATTAAACGTTTCTAACAATTAAACTTATCATTAATATGATTTCGATAAAAATTGTTTTTTTAAATGAAAGAATTACTATGTTATAAAAAATCAAAAACATACTATTTTATTTTTTAGAATATTATATTTTGACAAACAAAACGCTTTTTCAGAATGTATTTGAAGAAGTAGATTTTTAATCTTTCATACGATTTCTTGAATTTATGAAATTACTATCTTAAGGATTTCATTTGCATGTTTTTCTTCTTTTCTGGAACAAGTATTCTATGTTTACTCAATAACCATAATCCATTGAGACATTACCCGATCACAGTTAACCTTAATCAGATTTTTACTTACCCAAAGTGGTGAATTGTCTCTAACACTACACAGGGGTGCATGGCTCCGCAAGAGGAACAGCATTGGAAGAGGGCCAAGGAGTTGGAGAGGCAGGATTAAAACACAGCCTCTTTACTTCGCCCAGAACGTTCACTTTGGCGTACTTTTTTTCCTATTAAATAATTACATGTAAATACATAAATTAGTGAAAGAATTATTATAAATGTGCTTAAAAATGCTCTATTATTTGTGAATTAACTAACGCTAATGAGGTATTATTAAAATTTAATGTTTCTGCTATATATAAATTTCAAAAATGTTACCTATTTTTTCTAGTTGAATTTGGCGCCAAAATATGTTGACAAAAATACCTTCAAATTCAACAATTCTACTCCATCTCTGCGATACATGCAATAGAAGCTAAGAAAAAAATTAAACGTGAAAAATACTTTTCTCATTTTATCTCTGCGACATATTTTCCTAGGCCCCTTGATTTATTGGAAATCTATAGAATTTTTTTTTCTCTTTCATGTGAGTATCGCGATTATCGATTTGGTTTGGGGGTCACTTTTCACCTCCTTATTTAGCTGTACCCTTTGCGTGATCATGCGAAAAAGCAGATCTGATTGTCAGAGACTCGCCACGTTTCACAAAGCAGCATTGAATTGAACATTTGAAATGATAAACAACGATTTGTCGGCCCTTGTTGCCGAAAAAATTGTATTTTCGGCAAAAGTTTGTCTGTCCAACTCAAATTCTGCTACGTAGGCCCCAGCCTACGGCGGCCCCTTGCAAATGGCGGACGGTGCTCCAATGGGCATGGCGGGCAACGCCGACGTGCTGGGTGAGCAGCAAATGGGCATGGGCCTCGGCAGTGGAGGCTGGTCGGGCTTGCTTGATGAGCTGGCGGCTGAGCATGATACCGAGGTATGTGTTCCGTTTTTCTTCTTTACCACTTAACGCACCATATGATTTTGTGTTGTTGTTGTGTTTTGACATTTCTGACAACATAATTACATTATCCTGTACATAATATAATGAAGTACGTTCTGAAAGGGTTTTTTATTTAGTTTTACAGAGGGTTATGGGGTAATAAAAGAAAAAATAAAATTTTCAGTTTCATAATTTTGGCGTTAGTCTGCACGGAAAAGCGGGTTGAGTTTATAATTACTTGCGTAAAAATTAAAATGAATAGAAGATGTTAGTTTCAATTTTATTAAGTATTGCTCAAGCTTTTTAGCCCTATACGTAAAATATTGATGTGGTTATTATAATATACCACTAGCCGATCCTGGGTAATTATTTACCAAGATCGTTTGTCAAATAGCCCGTCTCGTCATCCTGCGCCAACCCGCCCTTCCCTACTCGTCCCCAACTGTTAAGACAATTTTAAGAATATTTTTGCCGAATAAACTATTTGGATATTCCAAATTTCTAAGCCGGTATAAGCACTCCAAACTTGTGAGAGCGTAGGCTTCCGCGGCCGGAGTCAGTATTTACTTGGCTGTCCGGGTGACGCAGCGTCCATGGCGAAGGTGCCGACGTTTCGGCGCCATTCTGCGACCTTCTTCAGAGCTTAATGTGTAATGCGTAATCAGTACATCTCCGCGCATTACGCCCTGAAGATGGTCGCAGAATGGCGACCGAAACGTCGGCACCTTCGCTATGGACGTGGCGTCACCCGGACAGCCAAGTAAATACTCCAAAGTTGGTTTGAAAAAATGCTTTCTAGGCAAAATTTTGCATTGCAGAATCATATAAACACTGCAGAAACATAAATTATTTATTATTTACAAAAGAAATTAATATATTTGTTCAGAAATAAAAATTTGACGACAGGGTTCAGAAATAAAAAAGCACCCAATTTTCACAATTCAGCCGCTTTTTTACGGTTATTTTTTCTTTCTGAATAAATATATTCATTTCTTTTGTAAATAATAAATAATTTATATGTTTCTGCAGTGTATCTATGCATCTGCAATTCAAATTTTTGCCTAGAAAGCATTTTTTCAAACGAACTTTTGAGTGCTTATAGCAGCAAAATCATTCGAAATATCCAAGTAGTTTATTAGACAAAATATGCTTCAATTAGTCTTAAGAGCTTATTTCCGATGTTTTGACGGTTCTCCCCAGGACACGTGTATATTTCGTGTAGTAGCCACGTGTAGATGCGCCATCCATCAGGGCGGTTATACAGAGGTATTCGTCTAAGGGAAAAGCTTTTCCCTCCCGTTGTTCCTCTTGCGATAACACTGGCTTGTATTGAACAGACATTATAAGGTTACGACTTTTTATTGTCAACAGGTGATGTTTAGTTTTCTGAAGAGTAAGCATTCATTTACTTTTAAATATGTATATGGCTCTCACTTTATAGTTTAAACCTGCAACTTTGTCTTGCTCATCTATCACAAGACTAAGTTCTCTTTAGCCTGAAACTTCTTTTTTTTGTTTATTTAAGATCGCATTAACTGCTAGGCCATTGATTAACGTTAGGGGTATCAGTAGACTGAATAAAGTGTCATGGTTATGGTGAGAGGTGAAAGGACGAACACAAATACAACCATGCCTGAGGCGGGACTCGAACCCGCGATCCTTCGTCCCGAAATCGACACGACACTACTGCCTTAGCGATCTCGGCCACCCAGATTGGCAGCTTGAAACTTGAAACAATTAAATTTCAAAAAATACAAGGATTTTTTTTATAGAAGGTACTTTTTCTAGGAATGTTAGGTAAAGTAGACTCTGTTAATTCAAAGAATAAAACGTTACATCACTTTCATATCTGACGTCATATTAGAAGAAATGAAACTGAAATAGAGAGAGCAGAAGTGATGTCATATCAGTGATCACAGTTTATTCTTACTCTATTCTCGAAATCCCCCCCCCCAATCTTCCCAATTCCACGAGCATGAAGGTAAAGCACAGGTGCGAATTCTGTCTTTAACCAGCAAAAATTCTGTGTTCTTTATACGTAAATATTCCTGACATGTGAATTACAAATAGGAATATTTACAACACGTTCCTAAGGGAAATATCAACATAGGCATAAATATTGAGCGTGAGTGGAAAGGTGGATTTCAGGCAGTTGGTCAAATTGTGCTGCGGGTAGCATAACCGAGTGACAAGGGGTTCATTTTCCACAATGAAGTCTTTAAGAAGACTCAACTCCGAAGGTTGGAGTATGGAAAGTGTCGGCAGCTAATCCGACATACTCAGCTTCAGCGACATCAGGCCAGTGGGGGAGCTAATTAATCCGCTTTCGGCTAATGGTCACAAAGTTCGTGTCTCAAGTCAACGTCGTATTACTTACGCACACGAACGTGTAGATGGCGTTGGTCAAGTTCACGTAAGCGAATCGTTAAAAATGTCGAAATAAGTTTCTTCATTCACCGTACAATGTCGCTGAAGCCAAGTATGTCCGATTGGCTGCTGGCGGTTTTTGCACGTAAACTCAACATGCATCCAACACCGAAGTTAGGTCTCCTTTCAGACTTTATTTTTGCCGCAAAGGTGAAACATATCTTAACCTCAAATCTTAACCTCCTTGGACTGAACTGACTATTAGGAATGCGACATGTATTTCTATGTTTCTAAAGCAAAATCGATATTTTCAACATCGATGAAGCCAATATATTTTATCATGGATGTTTTGTGATCTATTTTTTACGTTTTCTATGTTTTGTTCGTGTATAAAAGTTCCCATAATCATAATTTCTTAAAAATTAAAATATGAAATAATAACTAATGGCGCCTCTGTAAGGTTGTGTTCAAACCAAACGAACGTCATCAGACAGTCTCTCTCAAACATATCTCTCGTCTGAGGTGACCCTGATATCCTTCCTTATTTCCTTCGTCTTTCCTCGTATTTCGTGTACGAAGAGGCGTCTTTTAACTTTTTTATTTAAATTTTACTTACAAATTAATACACAGGACCGATCTCAATTAAATTTTGTTACGCACGAATTTAATGTTAGAGGCTAAACGAGCTCTAAAACATCGATGTTTTGGGGCTATCGATATTATAATTTTAAACATCGATGTTTGGAAACATCCATCTTTGTTATCGATGTCGCATCCCTTCTGACTATTTTGTTCTATAAGACTATCTTATAGATGTAAGAAGACGGTGAAATGTACCACTGGGATACTTTCACCAACAAGTTGTCATTGTCATATTCCATATTTACTAATTATTTTAATGTAAAATAGATTACAAATTTAATTTGTTTAAAAGTTAAAGAAACGCCCGAATAACTAGTGGTTGACTGTTGGTGTGTGCACAGGGCGCCCCTGGCGTCGGCGGCTTGGACTCGGAGCAGGAGCGGCGGCGTCGTGAACGACGTCGGGCCATGAACCGTGTGGCGGCATCTCGCTGCCGGCGACGAAAGCTCGACCGCATCTCGCAACTGGAAAGCCGCGTGCGATCGCTGGCCATAGACCATCAAGGGCTGCGCGCTACACGAGCTGCACTTCGAGCTCAGGTGCGCTAGCACTTTTTCTGTTGTTTTTTTATCTTGTTTTAGTTTTTACTTTCTCCCTGTTGCTTACGCGCTAGAAAGTTATGTACTGCTGCTAGAATTTTTTTTCGGCAGAAAATACTCTTATTAAAGGGCCCTGGTAACAAAAACGTGGATAAATTCAGTTGCTAAATTTTGAAAAAAATCATCTAACACGTGGTGTAGCATGAATGCATGTTTTGTGTGACCTTAATATCGAAAAATCAAATGATAGCAAAAAGGTCTGTCTGTCCGTCTGCTCGACGCTAGCGGCTAAACCGTTCAGCTGATTTTCTCCAAAATTGTTATTCCCCAATAGATCTAGCTGATGTCGTGGCTGATTGGTTTTCAAATCGATATTTTCATTTTTGGAGGTACTTTACATGAAGCCTCTGGCCCATTTTCAAACATTTCAAAAAAATTGGCTCCATTGTTTTTTATTAAATTTTGTTGTTGGATAGTGTGAAGAACGTTTAAGAGAATGGCGCATGTCTCATTTTCGTTGAAAACTCTTGATTTATCGAACATTGCAAATATTCAAATTTGTTCGGCTTCAACTACAATTATAGATATGGAGAATTTTACTTTAATGAAATGTTTTTAAAGAGATTTTGAAATAAACCCATGTACAATTTTTTAAACATTTGAGTACTTTTCGCATAATTTTGCCTAAAAGTACGAGCAAAAACGTATGTTGTGTTTTAGCAAAACTCCCCCGCTGGTGGGAGAAACCTGGGTGGGGAAAACCCCGCTAGCCGACGGTAGGTCGGTGCCGGATCTCGCGACCCAATCGAGAAAGATTACTCTGCCCCTTTCCGCGATAAAAGCAAGCACTACACTAATCGGACTAACGACGTTAGTAGTTGACGCACACGGAAACACTAATCAATGAATTGTCAGTCTCGCTCTCACTTTAACATTCGTCGAGAACCCAGATATCTCCCACGAACTCTACCTACCTATGTGAGTCACACAGGGTTCGAGAAATTAGATGAGGCGATTCTGCAAAGTCACCCGATTTGGAACTCTCGTGGCTCATTGGCGAAGTCGCTTTACTTTCAGAACTGAGGTACCAGGTTCGATTCCCGTAGAATCCCCGTAGAACCTCATGTGAAGTTTGTTACGAAACGAGTTTGCATGCTTCACAGAGGCTAGTCCAACCCCTGTGAAGTGTTCTTAACACTTACCCAAATCTAATTCCTTTCCAATTCTGGACGTTGTGTACGGGCGCATAGTAGGAAGCGCGTACGCGAAGATGCTACCTGGCGGTCCTCTTGACAACTGACTGCGACGAGACGTGACAGATATGACATTGAAATATGAGGAATACTCCGAAAGCGCAAAGCGCTCAAAGCCGTCTGGGGCTTGGAGACGCATAGCGTCAATTGAAGACGTAACATTTTTTTTTAACTCCAAGATATTTTCTGTAGTCTAATGAACCCTTGGTTTTTGAAATTCCAGAGCCACAGAAAGTTAAGCCCCTTCACAATTTCGGGCACACTTTACCTCATCCAGTTCACTAAGTATTTTCGAGAGTTTCCGTCAGAATATGCAACGCCATTAGGGGCCGTCCATAAATTACGTAAAACAAATTTGGTGTGTTCTGAATATTACCCTCGCCCCTGTAAAATATGCCCTCCGCCCCTTGATCTGACAATGTTCAGCGTCACCTACTTTATAAACGAACCCTTAGCAAGCTTGCCAATATTCATGATCTCTTTTAAAGCAATTTTTGTGGTCAAAGCTAAACAATAAACACAAAACACTTAATTTAGTTTCGTCGCCTCTAGTGAACAGGTCATCTCCTTGAGTGAGGCTTCGTGAACCTGCCGAGCACTAGTGTTTGAAGGGTTGCCTACCGTCCCGGCGACAAAAATGTCATGTGTTTGAAAAAAATTGAGATTTCCCACAAGTTCACTGGCAAGTCATCATAACTTTCGCAACCTCTAACCTTTTGAACCCCGATTTAAATCATAGTTCTGTATTTCTTAAAGGGGATAATCCCATGGCGTTATCATGATAATTTTAAGATATTTTGGTTATTGGTTTCAAATATAACATAGTAATTACTAATGAAGTGGCACAATACTTTAACCACGATAACTGTAGCACCTAAGGCGTATGTACATTTTTTTAAAGCTATTGTTTAACAGATTTATCTTACCTTGTAGAGAAAATTTGAAATAACGTTTTGACTTTTCGAATTACTTCATACTAAGTTGAAACTATATGTACAATTTTGTACATGTTCTCACATGTGGATCCAAATTTTGTTCGTAAAAATTCTTGCACAAATATTTCAAAATGCTCTTTTAAATATAGTTAAAGTCCAGTTTTCATTAAAATATTGAAATTTTTGAAATTTTCAAAAATTTATCTTAACTTCATCCTCTCCTATACTTTCAATTTTAAAGCCATAGAAATATTTTTCATAATTTAAACAATTTTCCACTATTGAACACTGTTATTTCATGCAAATTTTTGAATTATTCAAAAATTACAACACTGTACCCTTTATAATCGTTCATCTCATGGGCAAAAATAGACATTGCAAGAAGAAATAGGTGTATTTCTTTTTCCATCAAAACCACTATTTTTTTTTTAATTACACTTCAAAAATGATAGACAGTCTTAAAAATTTAAAAATGCACATGAAAAATAAAAGAATTGAACATAAATTTACTATTTCAATTTGATAATGACATTCAATAAAAAATTTGCCATGTTAAGTTATTGCTAAATCAAAATACGGAATTGATTCATTACATTTTCAGTACATTTTATTATTTTCAAATCAGGTACTCTTTTTTAATTACTTTTAACTTTCTATTAAATATCTGGAGGTTTTGGAAAACAGCTGAACTCTAAGGAAATTGCCACAAATTTATTTTGTCCACCACCAATTCCATATCAAGGTCAGCAGCAATCAGGAGGAGAATTCTTACAGCCGGTTGTTCTGACCAGTAATTTTTTTGTGGTTTCACTCAGGGGAATGCCAGAGCATCACTCTCACAAACAGACTACAGAGCACACATAATATTTTCTTCCCCTCCTTATCCTTTCCTTTCTCCTCACTCATACATACTACTTGTCTACACTACCATACATGTTGGGAGCTTGTCCTAACTGTGGCAGTGACCTGTAGGTGGAGGTACCTGGTGGGGAAACCCTCAAGCTGACCTGTAGGTCAGAGCTGGATCTCAGGTTCCAACAGAAAGGAAAACCACCTCTCAGGATATAAAATACACTACATTTACGGGACTAAGAACCTGGCACCTGGAAGCACAAAATAATCAGTCAATTTACTTGAAGTGAACAGGATTGCAACTCTGGTAGCGAAAGAAAGATAAAAGATTAGTCAGACAATTATGCAACAGGTCTTTTGTATTGAATTGTATGGTTAGATTAGAGGGACATTAATTCTAAGGACAGAAGGCCAAATTTGTTAAATCTAATGGTAGAAGATCCACTAAAATACATCCAATAAAAATTTGGTCCAATTACCAAAACTGTGGTTCAACAGACATGAATGTGTAATCCATTTTGGTGTAATAGAAGTACATAACACAATATCATCCCAGTTATCATTGTCAGAATATTATTAAGCCCAAAATGATACCACAATGTGAAGTTAAAGCTTTAATTCATTAAATACATAAAATATATAATAAGAAATGGTGTTGAAAATGTCAGTCTTAATTTTCATATTTTGGCGGAGCCTGGGATTTTTATCTCTAGCCCCAAAATCACAGGTGTAGGTTGATATCTCCACGATCATTACAATTTTGGTAATTTGCAATCATTCGCTGTATTTATCTTTGATTAATTCAGTAGAACTCAGTAAATAGATTTTGTACTAGTATATACTCTGCCTGTAACTGAGTGAATAGAACTATGCTTTTCCAGTGATACATTATTAGGTGTCCCAAATATTTCTACATGGAGCCATGATGAGAGACAATCATTTTCTGAATATGATTTCATCAATACACACTAAACTGAGCCAGTCCAGATGGCCAAGATTGTTAAGGTAGTAGGGCCGTTGTGATCTCGGTCCAAAGGATCATAGGATCGAGTCCGGCCTCCGGCATGGTTGTATTTGTGTTCGTCCTTTCACCCCCTATTGTCACCATATCACGTCATCTTCACAGTTACCATACCGTTAAATGCAATAGTAGTCGCTAATGACCTAGATGTTAATGCAACCTTATATAACAAAAATTTTAAAAAATAATAAATAAATAAATAAATAGAAAAAAAGAAGGAAAAAAAGAACTAAACAATGTTTTGATTGTGGTCTTGTTAAAATCATTTCTATTACTTTTATACTTGAGCTTGAACATTTTATTTGTGGTAGTATTTAATGTTTTTTCTCTCTTCTTTTTATAATGTTCATTTCATGTTGCTTTCAGAATTAGGTTTGTTTTTCTATCATGTGATTGAATCAACTGATATTACCGATAATAGCTTCATGCCCTATACATCAAAAAGATTGGCCTATTAAAAATATGAAATCTTTAGTGTTAATTTTATAATGTTCACAGATAGAAGAACTAAAAGAAAATGTGCGTATTCATTTGAAACATGGGTGCGACTTGTCAAGAAATATTTGAATTGCCTACAACACTCTGCAGAATAATCAGAAAAGATAGTACATGTGGACAGGTAAAGAATTTTATTTTCAACTCACTCAGTATAGGAACATTTCATTTCCTTTTCTTTTCTTTTTTTTCTTTTTTCTTTTTCCTTTTTTCTTTTTTCTTTTTTCTTTTTTCTTTTCTTTTTTTCTTTTCCTCTTTCTTTGCATTTCCTCCCCCCCTTCTCTCTCCCACCCTTTCTCGACAAAAGTTTGTTTTAGTAACACGTCATTTAATCATTTCTTTCTCCCTCCCCTTATTCCGTCATTGTACTTTCACTGTATAACTAATGCACTTATTACGCTTTCTTTCTTTCCTTTTTTTGAGATATAAACTCTATACTTAAGGGACCACTAA